CCTTGTAACTATACATTTTGCTTCGAAGTCCAACAAAATGTGTCATAATTTTACCGTTATTTTCATCTTTCATTAGACCCGGCACCTTTTTGTTCTTACGCAGTATTTTATATATGTTATTTTCAGGATAATCCGAAGTATCAAATTTACTGGAATCAGCCTTAATGATCTCCTCATATGCATCCTCACATTGCAATTCGTAGATAAAACTGTCTGTGTCCATGTACATGAGCTTACACCTTTCTGCACCCATTTTTGGTAGCATATAGGTGTAATAAAAATCGTACATGACTAGTTTCGATAGGTCTAGAATTGCCTGCCCTACATACAGAGGTTTGTTAAACGTTATTTCAGCCTTGTTCAATTCGATAACCACCAGATTTTCCTCTAAAATTGTGCGACTGTGGAACCGAAAACTCGAAATCAAGTTTGCTGCCCCATAGCGACCACCCCAAGATTTAACGATTTTACATACGCGGTGCTTACGTATATTTTCCATGGTCTTACCGAATACTGCATTATTCATTAATTTAAAAAGATTTTTTTCGAAATCATTCCGGGCTGCAGCTCTACATCGAGTATTCAACTCGATGTAGGGTTTCAGCCAGGCTGCTTGTTTAAATTGTAAAATTTTATGGATTTTCGTTAACTTTAACCCATTAGCTAGCATTTGTTTTAAATTTTTATAGTGAACCGTGTACTCTTTTTTATCCGTAAGTGTTGTCATTAATTTCGGCAATTTTACCCCGCCGTCGCTGGGTGGTACGCTACGTTCTGCCGCAAACGGAAAATCTTTGTGTTTATCGTGCAGTTCTTGTGGGTACGATAGATCGACTTGTAGCACGTACCCTACGTCAGAGTCGTCGGGTATTGACATCACATCAAACGATGTTACATCATCTACCCATTTGAACCCTCCGTAGGGTAAGGGTTGCTGCATAGCCTTCCCATATAAGCTATTCACATCCAGGTACATAAGGTACTTGGACGGCTTTTCAGGATCATATTCGGGCATATATTTATTGTTGGCCTCCGAAAATCGGTTGCTACACACCGAAATTCCACCTCTTATAGCATTTTCGTAAAACATCACCATATCTAGATCCTTTAGTAGTTCTAACTTACACCCAGTGTATTTGAGCATACAGTCCCACGTATATCCGGGCATTGTATAGTACCACGCAGGATCCAGACCATAGGTGGAGAAACATTTTTTACGCAATTGCTCAAAAACGTCGGCAAGAAGCAGAATATCTGTTTTTAAATATATATCAGAATACTCTCCTAATGTTTTAATGTTAAACTGTTGCCAAACAGATTGCGCATGAGCATACTTCTCGTCACTTACACTTTCATCGTTTAATTTATTGTAAAATTTTTCAATTGGGGGCAAAGTCGTTTCATTTAATTTTTTCAACGAATCAATGTAATCGTAACAGAAAACTCCTTTCTGTGTTAATAATTTGAATTTATCTTCATCTAAATTTTGAAATTCCCTTTGTAAAATTTTCTTTTCTGATACTGCTAAAATTGAAGCTAATTCATCAAGAGACGCCCCCATAAATCGAAAAGAGTCTATAAACCGCAATTTAATGTTATTTTCATCTGAGTGCAGCGTAAAGGAGATGTATTTATCTTTGTTGATGGGAAGTAGACTTAAGCGACCTTTTTTACATAAATTCGAAATCATAAAGTGACTATCGTACCCACTTAAATTATGGAATATAACCGGCACAACAAACAATTTTCTAAAGTTCAGATTGCATGCTTGGTGTGCGTAACCTCTGAACTCTCCACTGAAATGGTTGTGATCTCTAACGATTATGTCTTTTTTTGTTTTTGAAAATCTCTTACCGCAAATATGACATGATGTTGCCTTACATGTGTCTAATTTTTCAATCATAGGTACGCTTGTTTTTATTTTTGAGTTTACAAATTGCGCAACACCAGCCATACGATTTGCAAACCAATCCATACAATCTGCACCTCGAAAGCTCTCGAAATAAGAAAGGCTATCATCATAGCTGCATTTTACATAGAAACCAGCACTATACGGAACGTGTTTTTGATATTTTATGGTTTTAGTTAAATTTACGACGCTACTTTCTTTATGATTTTCTAATTGACATTCAAAATCTGCATAAACAACAAAAGGAGTATTTTGTTGGTATGTAAAGTTTTTAAATTCAACGCCGCTCTCTTTAGGAAGGTTAATTTTATATTTATTAAATTTAGAACACAGTTTTTCATGTTCAACTAATTTATTTTGCTGATGGAAATAGTTCAGACATCTATCGCAAATAAATTTTTTCTCACGATGTTTATTTAACTGGCTACTAATAAGACGCGAAAGATTTTTAATCCAACAATAGTGATATTTAATTTCATCGATTGAATCATTATCTTCATTTGCTGGCGCTGGTGGAGGAGCATCATAATCATTTAAACGCGGATAATATTTATTTTGAGCTAAAAGTAAATTAACATGCGTATCCCGTTTATTTTCCGTTAATCTTGCTGGTACTACTATGTAAAATGATTTTTTTTCTGTTTCGATCAATTCTAAAGCGTAAACATTGACTGAAATGTTATTCATCTTTTCAAATTTTGAAATTTTTGTTAGCAGCATAGGACTATCTAAATTTTCTGTTTGTAAAACGTCAGTAAAGTGTGGATATGAGGAGGTTAGTTCTGCATGTCTTTTATTGCTAGGAGTCCGAAGAGCGCTTACAATGGCCCAGTAAAAGCAATTTTGATCTATATTTTTAATGTTTATACAAGCATTTTTCCTTATAATCGGTTCTGGTAGTCTAATATAAGATGAACCGTTTCCCAATTGATATTTACTGATATTAACAACTAAGGAAATAATTTTATTTAACGCAAATCCCGAATCTTTTTCAGCAAATTCCGATAATTCGTTTAAAAGTTTATCTTTAACATATATCTTAAACCACTCGTCTATTTGAGTTGATGTATCAATAATATGATTTTTAGTATTAATATATTTAATTCCCAAAATTTCATTATCCCCCGATTTCCTAATAAACTCCCCGCAAAATGTTGTATTTACTTTGAGCGCACAATGGGTGTTCAAAATATTCCTAATTTTCCTTTTAAAAACAACTACACAATCTGCTAAAAATTGATTCAAGTCCTTATGACGCAAATTAGCTATGGAACCGGTTTTTATTCTACTTTGAAAGCTCGATTCTACATTTTCCCATCTAACCCTCTGACCCAATGTTAAGTGAAGTCCTGCCCCAATATGTCTAGTTAAAATCAACTTTCTAAAATGTTTAAAATGCCCCAAATTTGTTTCTACTTTTCTACAGGTCCCTACAGATAATTTATTTTGCCTTCTACTACGAATTACCCGTTTACATAATCTAATTTGTTTTTCTATTCGTTTCAGCCACACTTCCGCGTCTCTGATTGTAAAATTATCAAATAAAATTTTCCGTAGACTAACAATTGATAGTAGAACACCGTCTGTTTGTTTGATGATCTTTTTAACCTTATTTGAAGACATTTGAAAAGACGACATTTTTTTTTCAAGCAAACACATTACTCAAAAATATATAAAAATGCTCACCCTGTCCTCCTCCTGTTCTCTGCTTTGTTAATTTTCCACTATTTTGAATGATGCTAGCGGTCGGCTTTTCCCTACGTCCACTTCCCCTTGGAAGATGATCGAGTATTTTCCGTGAAAAAGTTCGTCGATGACCGGCTGGTACGTTTCCGTCACCCGCTGTGGTAGAAATAGCACTTCCGGTCCTAAATCTAGTAGCACGGCTTCCCCAAATTTCGACTTGACCACTTTAGCTGCTTGGATTGCAAATGGTGTCCCGACTGGTAGGTCCTTTAATTTTCTGATAGGTTTGCGGTCTACAATCGAAGACGCAGCATTAATTTTTGATAAATCCATCTATAAAAAAAATTGAGTCGTCTAACTATTTTGAAGCATAACACGAAAAAAAAAAACAGTTGCATTTAGAGACATAAAAAAGAAAAATATTAAATAAAATAGCACTTACTTTTTTTAAAATTTTCGCTCTCTCGTCTCTCTCGAAGCACTAATTGTACTGCGGTCGTTGTTGCAGCTTGCAGCGTTGTGCGTTAAGTGTGAAACAATGATGACTATTGCATGCGCTCGCTCAATATAAGTACGTAGTAGAGATGACACACGCGTGCATGAGATAATTGTATCGTAAATATGCATATTATATGCATCATATTCTCAGTACCATTTTTATCGAGAAAACTGCATGCGCTCGCTCAATATAAGTACGTAGTTGAGATGACACACGCGTACATGAGATAATTGTATCGTAAATATGCATATTATATTCATCATATTCTCAGTACCATTTTTATCGAGAAAACAACATTCATTGCGGTTGCAGTATTTTTTATATAATTTCTTAGTAATACATGAATGTATCGTTTGTCCGGCGGAAATTCCAATTACAAGTTGCACATGAGAGTAGAATTTTAGAAATATAGAAATTCGTGTATGATTATTGTATATTTGCTGCCTAATTTTTTTTCAGTCAAGATTTTGATTGGGGGGTAAACGAATTTATATTTGCTATCTGAGATTTTTGACATCATTCTCTATCAAGATGTTGATGTGGGTAGACGTATTATTTTTTATTTCAACTTTCACATACGTGCTTTGCAACGATTTCTCCGAAAAAGACGCTATAGTATACCTAACTCAATATGAACATATCATCGATAATACAACAGATCTCTCTACTTTGCTAACTAACTTGCAAGAAAAGTATAATTTACCAGTGGATGGATTGTTGAATAATGCAACAATTGAATTTATGAATCGTCCGCGTTGTCAATACAGTGATGCTGAATTTAGAGCAAGTTTTCCATTTCGGAAACATGACCTGAAATGGTATTTCCCTCGAAACACACCTGCGGCCCAAAAAGATGCAGAAATGGCTTTTCAGATGTGGCAAAATGTTTCAAACTTAACATTTACAATGGTTACCAATCCCACTCTATATCCTCCTGATATTACTATAACCATGGTTAGCAAGACTCATTATTTTAGCGCAAACTGTATGGGTAATGATGAATGTCCATTGACATTAGATGATGCTGGCGGCGTTTTAGGACATGCATACTTTCCTGACTCTAGCGGCACCTGTAGAGAAATCCATTTAGATATAAATGAACGCTGGTATTTTGGAAATAATCCTAATATACCCAAAAATCAAACTAGTTTTCTTATGGTGTTGGTTCATGAAATTGGACATGCCCTCGGCATAGCACATAGTGCTTCTCCGAATGCTATTATGTTTGCCTTCTATCAGCATGAGATTCGTGGTCTAGATGTTGATGATATAAATGCAGTACAATATCTATATGGAAGAAAAAACAAATATGATTCAATCCCAAAGTCTACCACCGCATCAGCAATACCAAAAACAACAACAACAACTATAAGATCTACAACTCGTAAGCAGCCGATCCTCAAAAATTTGTGTGATATTATTCCAGATTTTATGTTTTTAGCCATTGCTCCAGAGTTTTCAAATTACCGATTATATATTGCACATGATATGTTTATATGGAAACTAGACTTAAACGAAATGATTATCCCATCTCAGCCTGAACTTCTTGTCGATTATGTTCCTACAGAATTACGTCAATACACTTTACAACATATTTTCCAATCAACAAACGGTGACTTGATTACCATTGTGTCTCCAAACAATATTTCTCAGCATCATTCCCTACCATTAAATTTCTTGATAATTTTTCAATTGATATACCCGATAGGGCTCGAATCAATGCTATTTTTCAATCAAACGCAGGACGGTCCTATACCTTTTATAATAATATGTCATATATAGAATTTTCTAACGATTTTACTGATGTGTTGAACAGAGGACGGATAAGAGACATATTTCCTGAATTACCTGAAGATATTTCTCTCGCATTTCGATGGATTGATGGCCATATTTACTTTTCCGTCACGCAACTTACTATAAATTTAATGAATTTACAAGAAAGTTGTTGCGACCGGACCATTTCATTGGACTCTATTTGGAGTACCATGCCCCAGCGAGGATTTGTTCACTCAACTAAAAACTCTGTTATCTAAACTTGTATCTGTATATCATAAAAAATACATTTTTCAGAAAGCTATGTTATTTCGTATTCAGCCTGTTGTCAAACAAAAAAAAAACAGTCGGTTCCTTCGACTCCCCACCCCCCCCACCATCATTCTACTACATAAAAGTTTCATTTTGAACGTATCATCCGTATAATAATAACAGTACATCGGATACAGGTTATGAGACATTCTGACCGACCGACGACCGACCAGAGGAGCCCACCACGCTATTTAGGTCACGCCTTGCTATATACGATTTAACGATATACCGTCGGTCCATCGATCCGCTATTTTTCGATGCACCCCTGTATACACGTTCTGATGCCCCCCGTAATCCACGCCAAACACCAGACAGGTGCGACATCGGCGCCATCTATGCGCGAGATGCCCAACCCATCAATGGCAGCTGTCCAATGACACATAGATTCCGTTTGGTTTGTACAGCGCCAAAACAAATCGGCGCCATCTATGCGCGAGATGCCCAACCCATCAATGACAGGTGTCCAATGACGTATAACAGATGACGTGTAACGCCATCTATGCGTGAGATGCCCAATGACGCATGACAGGTGTCCAATGACACACAGATTCCGTTTGGTTTTGACAGCGCCATCTAGCGGCGGAATCCCCAACTCATGAATTCGATTACAGATTCGTCCAACAACCTGTCAATGGCGCGCGACGCCAGCGCTCTGGTGGCGGATTTTGGAAGTTTTGAGACAATCC